TGACCATCGTGTTCTTTCGCTCTGTAGTTTAGTTCAATATTAGTGCATGTTCTTTCTCTCTGTAGTTTAGTTCATTAATAGTGCATGTTCTTTCGCTCTGAAAAACTACAGAGCGAAAGAACATGCACTATTATTGAACTAAACTACAGAGCGAAAGAACATGCACTATTATTGAACTAAACACATTGAATTTAGTATATTATGCTAAAATAGTATTTACAAGTATTTTCTTATGATTACCAATAGAATCAGCTAAACATCTCAACACAGATCAGCAAACAACAACAACAACAAAACAAACTGCTAATCCACTTAATAAATAGCCACACAAAATCGTCCATGAAATCTTTTTAGTTTTATAGGCGTGTGTCTAGAGGCAGTTTCTATAGAAGTATTCCTTTGCTTCCGAAAGTAGTACCAAAATATATGACAACATTGTAAGCTATTTTGTTTAAATGATTTTGTGAAACTGACACTATTATTGAACTCTTCGTGTTAAAAAATATATAAATATCACCTATAGTATAAAAGTCGCCTAACAGATGGCAGTAGTGATTGTTTGCAAGTTATACTAACTTTTTCACTAAGAAATCATACAGAAGCACGTGGTTTGGCCCGGCATGGCAAGGTGGTTAGGGCGCTCGACTCGCAATCTGTGGGTCGCGAGTTCGAATCCCCATCCCACCAAACATGCTCACCCTTTTAGCCGTGGGGACGTTATAATGTGACGGTCAATCCCACTATTCGTTGGTAAAAGAGTAGCCCAAGAGTTGGTGGTGAGGGGTGATGACTAGCTGCCTTCCCTCTAGTCTTATACTGCTAAATTAGGGACGGCTAGTGCAGATAACCCTCGTGTAGCTTTGTACGAAATTCAAAACAAACAAACAGATGACCTAATATATGGAAAAGGCAAAAGATAGGGAATCAATAGGAGAGTAACCAGTCAGAAGAGCACTGGTAACATCAGTAAACAAATTCTCTTCTCTGCCCTGCAAGGCAGCCGTTAAAATTCAAAAACAAACAAATAACCACGTGGTTTATCTTTCCATGGAAAGGAAAGGTGAAGATCAAAGTGCTCTGAAATTTCAATTAAATGTAGTAAGACTTACAAAAGCTCGTTGCTAATCAAATATTCGGATTCTCTAACTTTTGTTATACACCGAAATTAATAATTAAAATCCTATTGCTATATAAGGATAATGTGTAAGATAGATGTATTTCCGCAGGGTCCCCGAAAGTGTTTCAAGAGTAAATAAAACCAAAATTAAGAATAACAAATATTTTCATTTCTTACTTTTGAAGTTCATATTCCATGCTGTGTTGTAGCCTACATAATACATAATTCTTCTGGTGAATGATGGCATACGCACGTTTTACTAACGTCACGACAGCACAAATTGCAACATTAAGCGTTTCTTATGTGACGTCATTTTAGTGTCTACTGACTGACTGACTGACAACATACTACTGTATAAAGATGCGAGCGGTTAAAACAGGTGATCCATCCAGGCGGCCTTCCACTCCTTTTAGGAGCAAGAGAAATTATGTGTCACCCAGTGGGTCAGTTAACGATTTTGTACACTAAATCTGGATATTTTCATCAAGATGGCTTTTGGGGACAATAACTGAAATGTTATTTTTGTTTTTTATATCTTTCCTAACCCCGGTTTTCAGAAAATTTATTTTCTGTAATAGCAAATCAAATTTTGGTTTATAGTTAATGATTGTAGTATGCAGGCATACTAAATGCTTTCTACCCTATTTATTCAGCAAACTTTGCATATAGTTTTCCAAAATTTTCATGTGTACAAGGATACGTAGTTTTAAATATAAACGTTGGTCAAGTGGGTCTCTCAACTATGGTATTACGTACACCTTTTTGTGGGAAATATTTCTGTAAAGTTGAGCATACTATGTGAAAGTATACAACGATCTTTTCCACTGGCGAATCAGGAGATACCTCAAGGCTACAGCCTTCGTTATTTTTCAATTGGAATAACCAACAATGGTTAAGTAGGAAACATGTCCTGGAAATAATAGTATTATTATTCTGTGTGTATAATGCTGTGTTTTCTCAGTCTGGAACATATTTTCGTGTAATTTTACAGATTTCTTTTTCTCCTTCATTTTGATGTTTACACTCCAGAAAAGGCACCGTCTTTCGTAAGATACAATGTCTTTGCTGGTGTTTTAAAAAATAAATAAAGACTGTTTCACATCGTGTTCAGTCTCTTTCTTCTTCACAACTCAGAGTATTCTAATTTACTTCGTGAAACATTTCATGAGCGAACCTCCTATTATTCTCCGAATCCTTCCCAATTACTCTTAAGGGAAATTTGTGTGCATCATAATATCACAAAATGCGCATAATTTTTAAATTGAAGATACTGTTGTAAATCAATAAATAATAGGCATTTTATAAATATAAGTGAAAAACCTACATAGGTGAAGCTAATGAGCAGCATTTAGCTACACGAGTTATTAAATTTGTTTGTTTGCATGTTCGTGTAGAGGTACTTGAAGGCTATCTTCTCTAGCTGTCCCTAACTTTGAAGTAATACACCAGATGAATTTTTTGTTTGTTTGTTGAATTTTCCGAAACGTTACTCAGAGGCTATCTGTCCTTAAAGTACAAGTGTTAGGCTAAGGGGAAAAAGGAAGACAGCTATTCAACACCACCCACTGTCAATTCTTGGATTACTTTTTTTACCCACGAAAAGTGGGATTGATCGTGATATTATAACGCCCCTACGACTGAAAGGGCGAGAATGCTTCGGTGACGAGTAGCTATTAATACATATTACATTAATTAAATTGTTTTAACTAATAAAATTAGTTACTTATGGTCGTTTAGATATCTTGAAACACGATAAATCATATATTCTCGAGCAAATTTGTTGTTTTCAAATATATCAGGATTTATTTGTACAGTCATGTTGCTTTATACTTCAATAATGACTTTTGAACCGGCAAATTAAGCACCCGTAGTTTTCCATAATTCTAGAGGCTTAGGGTGTAGTTTTCGTTTGTACTCAATCTTGTAATTGTATAGACAATTAATGTAACAAAAACATTTACTCTAGTTGGGTCTAAAGTTATAGAAAATCTTTACACTAGTGAATATAGTTACAGTAAGTATACAAAATTATAAATAGTAGTCATAATTTTACGTATATATATTGTATACATGCGAATGTACAGTGGGAAGGTATGAATATACAATTAATGTATACAATAAACACTAGGTGATTGTCCTGAATACTTACGCAGTAAACCCTTCATTGGTAGTCGTTAAAACGTTTTTTTTTACCAGCTTCCACAATAACTCACTTATCATAAGCATTCTAGCATCTCCTAATCTTCTTATATCGCTTTTTCGAAAAAAAGAAGATAGCAAAAAATATTTATCTCCTGCCGTCTTTAGTCACTTAGGTCAGTAGTCCTAAAAGGATCAGCTGTTGTGACTTGCTTGTATTTTGGTCTTTATGATTCATGAAGTAGGTTCAGTGCCTTTGTTTTGGTGTCTTGTTGAATTTCACCAAACACTTTTCCAACTATATATGACTTATATTCAAAACTTATGAACATTTTTTATGTGCTTAAATAACCCTAACCTGAAATGTATTATACTGAATGTAATTCAAACTTGCTTCTCTTTCTCCGATTGTTAACCATCTGAAAAATTAGTTTACAACGTTCTTATTCAGCTGTTAGTTTGAACAAGATATTTGCTAGATTCTTTCAAAAGCAACTTGCTAATGAATATTTTGTTAATTCTAACCCTTCCTATATACAGTATACATGTCCATACTTACTTTTAAATCAGTCTCTATATATTTCAAACTACAGATCGTCTATACATCCACTTGAAAATACATTTTCTACAAATAGAAATCTTAAAATGTGAAAAAAATATTTCAATTCTTGCAATTCTCCTATCGGTATAAAATGTGACGACATAAATTATAACAAACAGGAATTAAATTGATAATAAAAGATTATTAATGTCAGGTAATGTTGGATGAATATGGATTTGTGATTTTTCGTATTTAACATTGCTTACGATTCCTTTCCTGTTCAATAGTAGTTCATTCATTTATATATGTATTTCACCTTTTATAAATCCCTGAATGAACGTAATGTGCAAATTTAAAAGTATCTGAAGGTTCAACGTTTAAAGGAATTTAAAGCATAAAACTCTAAAATATGAGTTCGTGCCTTTTTTGTTATAAAGTTTTTTACATAGCAAATCATAGTTTATATAATACGAGGTATATAACAAATGAAATTCATGTTTTACCAGTCGTGGCTTAGTGCTTAGTGTGCCAAACTGTGAATCTCAGGGTCTGTGTGTTGCATCTCGTTGACTTAAAAAAATACCGTTCCGCACTTTGGAGCTGTGGAGAGCAGAAGGACATTCAAGAGTTTGCGGTTGTTGCTGTCGAGTGACTTTTTTCTAGTCTATATTCTGTAACTTAGCATATTTTAATTCTCTTTAAAAGGAAAATACATGTAAGTGAAACAAACTAATAGTTTTATGTTATTTCTTTAAAATAACAAACGCAATAAAATACAGACAGATACACGTGTATGTCTCAACTTTTACCTTGATGTTGCTGTTTTTAAGCAGTAGTTAAATACTAAAAGAAATACATGTTATGCAGGACTTCTAAAAACACAAATTCCGTTAATATCATAAAGTGCTTTGATACATTTTATAAGCTACATTAAATAATCAGTTATAATCGTAGTGGTAAATGATATAAAAAGAGTAGGGAAAAATATGTAAAAGTAAAACATTGGATATTAGCAATATTTACCCTCTGAAAATCAGTCTCTTTATAGTAAAAAAAGATAGTACCCTCAAATATTGCAGTAGAGCCTGTTTTGTTATTAGCAAGTAACATTGATGTCGCGTTATATTTTGTCGCGTAGACGTACAAGCACCCTAGTGCAAAGCAAGTACACTACGCTTGACATAGAGCATGTGCTACAAACGAAACAACGCCGGAATGGCAGTATGGTAGCAGGGAAGTTCTTGTTCGTTCGGTGATGGCGTCAGACGGCTTAGTGGGTGATTGACAGAAAGCAACGTGAATTTTTTTCGAAACTGTTCACTGGACTTGCAGTACAACAAAAACCAAAACATCAGATTACACCTCAAACATGAGCTTGTGTTCGTGTTTCGCTCTTGTAACCATGTGCGTGTTTTTAGGTAAGTGGATTTGACATTAATGATTAAACAACAACTCAAATTCTAGTTCCACTTTGTCGACGCTAGTTAATTCTTAGCCATTGTGTGTAGATTTTCCAGTTCTCGTGTATTCCAAATCCTGTACAACATCTGTTATATCAGGCAAAATTTTGTTTCTTTTTCTTGTTGTTTTTATTAAGATATTGTCAACTCTGCTGTTTTAGCACATAATGTATTCGTTTTAGGAGTTAATGTAAAACGAGCAAGTAGATTCTATACTTTCAGATTAGTTCCCAGTATTTCTGTAAAAATGAAAAAAATCTGAGTTTCTTTCAAAATCCGTCAAAATCTAACAATATACGACCAAAATTATTTTCCTGCTTTAATAAAAATTAAAATTATAGATTTAAAAAATTATTTGGTCACCTGTACGTAATAATATCACGATTAAGTTTTGTTAGGCATTTAATTAGGCATTACGTGATTTAAAAGTTTATTGCCTTCAGACCTAAGAACTGTAGTTTGTGGCTAGAAAGCTAGACTAAATGTAGAATAAAGCGCCGAGG